CAATATTAACAGCAAAGATAGATGTAAATTATAAGACAGAAGCTAAAATACATGGGGGATAGAATTAAAGGCTCAATCTTTTTTTTTTTTCTTAAATGGTTCAACCTTTATCCAAGAGGAATTCCAGAAGAAAACTAGAGAAAATTCAAGAAAGGTAATCTTCAGACGAGAAAGGTAATCTTCAAAGAAACAATGCCTGAGAATTTTCTAGGACTGATAAAAGACTGAAGAAACACAAATATCAAGTAAAACAAATAAAATTAAATCTCAGCCTAGACATATCATAGTCAATTTGCAGAACACCCCCCCCCCCCACCAAAAAAAAAAAAAGCAAAGAGAAAGCAATTTTAAAAATTACCAGAGAGGAAAAATAGACTACCTACAAAGGAACAACAATGAGACAGATGAGAGACTTTTAAATTGCAACAATATAGGTAAATAATATCCTCAGAGTTCTGAGAGAAAATAACCATTAACCTAAGTTTCTTAACCCAGGTAAATTATTATTCTAGAGTGAGGGCAATAAAAACATTTGCAGAAATGAATTGAAAGAATCAAGAACTCACAAATTCTTGCTGAAGGAAATGCTAAAGTATATATTTGAGAATAGTGAGGTGGAAAAAGGAATGGTGAACAGAGATAACAGTAAAGATGTGGATAAATCTAAACAAGTATAGACTATAAAAATGATGAGGATGAATAATTTGGAGATATAAAAACAAAGTGAGGGGGGCATTGTTGGGTTAAAAGTAAGTCCTTGAATTATTTTAAGAGAGGGTAGAACTACTAACAAACTTTAGACATGTAAGTCTTTTAAAAAAAAGGAACAGAAACAGAATATATAGCTTCTAACACTTTAAAGAAAATAATAATTTAAACAATTGATTAATGGGAAAAATGCAAGGAAGGAGAAAAAGTGTAGATAAAGCACAAGAAAAGAGAACTCCAGTGCTAAGATAAGATAAATTAATTCAAATGCACCATTAGTCATAGTAAATGTAACTGGACTAAAACTTGTGAACTTAAAAACAGAATCTTGAGGGTATGGCGTTGCATGCCTGTAATCTCAGCTACTCTGGAGGCTGAGGCAGGAGGATCACAAGTTTGAGGCCAGCCTCAACAACTTAGTGAGGCCCTGTCTCAAAATTAAAAAAAAATAAATAAAGGGAGTGGTGGGGGTGTAGCTCAGTGGTAGAGTGTCCCTGGGTTCATTCTCTGGTACAGAAAAAAAGTGCTTCTAAACACAGAATCTTTATTGAATTAAAAATTCAAATTTTATCTAAAGGCTGTCCATCTTATCTAAAACATGGAAACCATGAAAAGTGTTATAAAAAGATAACAAATATTATTAGGGACAAAGAAAGAGTCACAACATACTGATAGAAGGAATAATCCACAAGGAAGATACAGCAATTCTAAATCTCACTACCTAAAAATACAGCCCCACAAATTGATAGAATTACAAAAAGAAACTGGTATATCTATAATCAGTGGTAAATTGTAATATACCTTTCCATGTTGAAAAAGCAGACCAAAAATTAACAAGAATGTAAGAAATTTGAACAATACAATTTAGAAAGTACTTGAATTGACATATACAGAATTCTGTATTAACAATTATAGAATGTTCATTTTTAAAAAATACTCATAGATCATTTACCACACTGTTTTACTACAATGCAATAAAATTAGAATTCAGGAACAAATGATAATTGAAAATGAATGCACTTGGAAATTTTAAAAAGTAGGTTATATAACCAGTTTGTGCTAAATATCATCCCATTTAAGAAAAAGTATCTATGGTATGCATTGGGAAAAACAAACTGGAAACAGGCACTAGCTTATAGGTATTTTCTAGTTTTGTTTTATTTTAAGGGTTTTTCTATATTGTTAAAGTTTCCTGCTTCAGTGTTATCATCGTGTATTTTTTTTCTAACTAGAAAAATCAAGAATAAATTTTATTTAGAATAACACATGGAATAATAAATTGCCTGAGCTATTGCAATAACCTTCTAATTGGTCTGCTTTTTTTTTTTTTACAATTATTGCTTCCTAATATATTCTCTTCCCCAAGCACTGAGAATAAAGTTCAATTACTAACCTTAGCCTAAAAGATTCTATAAGATACTGTTACAGCCTAATTTTCTAACCTTACTTACCTCCATTCACATTCCCCCAGGTTCACTCTACTCTAGCCTAGAGTTCTCCATGTTCTTTCCACCCTGGGTCTTCACATTTGCTATCCTTTGTACCTACTAGAAGTCTTATTGCTTTCCTTCCTGAAATGCCTTCTTTACCTAGGTATTCTTCATTTATTAGCTGAAATGTTAAATTTTTAAAGAAGCCTTTTCTACTTCCCTTTCTCAGACTAGGTTTGGTTTCTATGAGAAATAGTCTCAAAGTACCCATTCTTTGTCTTCACAGCAGTAATAATAACTTGGAAATATATGTTTATGTTTTTATTTGGTTATTACTTGTCTTCCTTGCTAAAACTGTCTTCTCATGAGGGCAGGGACCACATCTGGTTTGCTCATTTATACAGCCTCAGCACCTATTACTTTGTCAAGCATGTGCTAAGTACTCAGTGGATATTTCTTGAAAGAATGTATAAATGAGTGAATGAGTGAATAAAGATAAATCCCCATAACAGCTACTGGAGATTCTGGAACCAAAAAGTAAGGTGAGGAAGTTCATGAAGGAGAAGCATATATAAGCTATGCTATGCCACAACTGTGGTTTTAATTAACAGTTCTGGTAATGGCTCAGATTTACTGAAAAGTGCTGACAAGGTAAAGTTCCTCTTGTACTGTCTTTTCTGCATTTGATTTAGTGGACTATTCCTTTTCAAACGAGAAAAGTGTTGTGAATTAGCTTAAAAATGAAATCACAATATAACTACTGTAGTTTTTCCTCCTAAGGCCAAGGACAGTGAAGTAGGATGATTTCTAGAGGGGTGTAAATTACTGAATCACATTTCATTATTCTTGAAGTTCTGTTTCATTAAATAATTGATACAACAGGACATAACCAAGAACCCAATTCAAGTTCGCCTGAATATACTCTATCTTATCTTCCAGAAACAACTTGTACACATTCAGTAGGCTTGTGTAATAGTGGTCTTTGTAATTAGGGCAACTATATAGGAAAAAGAGATACATTTTCAACTGACTTGACTTTTTTTTTCCTAGAAAAGAAAAATATTGGTTATACTTGCCCCAGAGTATACAATTTAGGTTATAATCTAAAATTCTTAAAATACACCCTTTTAAAAAAGAGGCTAAGGAAACCAAAGTAGTCTGCACTTTAGGTTCTGTAACATTATTTTGGTTCTGTTACATCATGGACATTCACATTCACAAACATTAGTTTCCATCTCTTTCCAACTCTTTCCCCCACAGAAAAAAGTCATGGTGGTAGTTTACATGTCAAAATCTCTTAGTTTAGTTTTTAATCTAATCACTTTTTCTAAAATCTCAGTCTGATCCTTCTATTTAATCAAGTCACAAACTAGACGTTTGATAGTTATATACATAATTAACTCTAGAAAATCTTTTTGAGTATTTATCCCTTAATAGTTCACATGGAAGCGATATTTAGTTGTTCATTTCTTTCAAAAGTTACCCCCAGCTAATTCCACAGTTCTTTTTTTAAAAAAATATTTTTTTTTAGTTGTAGTTGGATACAATACCTTTTTTTTCATTTATTTTTATGTGGTGCTAAGGATAGAACCCAGCACTTTGCACATGCTAGGCGGGCGCTCTACCACTGAGCCACAACCCCAGCACTAATTCCATGGTTCTATAATGATGTGTAAGGTCTAGTAATACCAGTGTAAAAAATATAATTTATTTAAAAACAATTATGAAACAAATTCATGCAATAATATAGAATAGACAGTTCATAAAAATAGGCATGTCCAATTAAGAAGAAAGATAGGAAATGAGAGAACAGGATCTGTAAATGTGCATTTTTTTTTACAATATTCTGTTTAAATGTCAAGGATTTCGGTTGACTAAATAGAAACATAGTATGCCAAAAGGCATGGCTGTCAACTACTATTGCAGACCAAGTATGTAATTTTTTGGTGATAGGGACTGAATCCCAGGCCTAGCATAAGCTAAGACCATGCTTACCACTGAGCTACACCCTTAAGAATTTTTTTGACTTAAGTATCCAAGCACTGAAAGCATTACTAGGGAAGTCAAACAATGCTGTAGGCTCAAGAGTATTGCTTATTCAAGTAAATATATGTCTGGTATGATGCTTCAAATTATTATTTTTTTAATATTTATTTTTTAGTATTTGGCGGACACAACATCTTTGTATGTGGTGCTGAGGATCGAACCCGGGCCGCACGCATGCCAGGCGAGCACGCTACCGCTTGAGCCACATCCCCAAATTATTTATAATCCTTTGTTACCTGTATTTTTCCACATTTTTATTGGTGCATTATACTTGTACATAATGGTGGGATTTGTTGTTATATATTTGTACATGCACACAGTATAACAATATAATTTGGCCAATATCCTGTCATCTGTATATTACAGAATAATATTGAGAGCCTAGACAGAACACTGTAAATCATTTGATCAAATCAATGAAAAGGCAACCAAATGAATTTGTCTGATGATAATAATGACCTAATTAATTGGCTTAAGTTCTTCATATTCCTGAACTAAGTGGAAACTATTTTGCCATCATATTTGTTATGTAATTGATCATGTAGTAATCTAAACTAATAGTAATCTAATTGGTTAAACTGTAATTATTCAATTCAGTAATATAGAATATAGAATAGCTCATTAATATGAGAAAACAACGTTTCCTAACAGAGTAAGAGAAATGACTGGTAATGATCAGAATATCACTAGAATTGTATATCAGCCATTTAAAACATGTCAGAATAATGGGACAATATAGAAAACATTAACCAAAATTTTCAGTCTTTTAATTTTTATCAATGACATATTACCAATTTTTCACCTATTCATGCAGTTTCAAAAGAAATTAATAAAATCCAACTCTCTTTGCATAGTCATGGTGACTTCAAGTGTCTCAGTCTCCAAAATATAGAATGCTTTAGCACTACTGCATTCCACAGGCTGGGGAAGAGTCACCAACAGCTTCCTAAAAATATAATATAAAATAAAAACCTAGAATTAGCTTCTTAAAGTGATATATCACTTTCAATAAAGCAATAGAAAGCAATATATACCACTAGAATATTTTTAAACCCCCTCCAAAAAAATCCCCACTAATATTTAGACAGTACAAATACTGGATCAAAAATATGCCAAGTACCACAGTATACTATTTGGGGGCTTAAAAATTCAGTCAGATTTTTTTACTCCTTCTCTTTTAAAAAACTGACCTCATATTGCATTGTATAAACATCATCTCAGGCAATGTTTATAAGAATAGAAGTAGAACCATGCAACCTTAAGTTTGTTGGACAGATCTGTTGCCAGTCATATTTATGTGAAGATAGAATTGGCTGACTGATACAAATCTGAAAATTGGAATAGTTCTATAACACTTCTGCTAAAACAGCTTTAGGTTGAGATTCTAATACAGGTTTAGCTTTTGAAAATCAGGTTTGGAATTATTTCAATACCAGATCAATGAAAGTACTTTTCTCTGCTTGCTTCTGATTCTTTCTGCTACACATTGACAAAAATTCACTCTGATAGATTGTTGGGTTTATTTTGTGGTTTATGGCTCAGTTGCTGGTAGTTGTATGCTTTAGATGCATTGCTGGGATGAGACATCCATAATTCTGTCCTAGTGGTATGAATCTGAATTATGCATGGGTTCAGCACACACTGGTATCAGAAGAAAATTAAATGCCTAAAACACTTGTTACCTCACATTCTCATTACAGAAGGCATGAGTGTCTCTACAAAAAGTGGACAGAAAAGATTTTTTAGACACAAATCTGTAAAGGATTCTGACATTTTTTTTAAGGGGCACTTCTTGGATACGTGAATAGAGAACTAGTATTTCTTCCCTCATTTGCAAAGACCTATGTTCAGGGGACTGGGCTTGTTAAAAGTATTTATTACACATTTCTAAGAGTAATTTTCTGTGACTCTTGCTCCATTTCAGACAGGGTACCAGAAACAGTTCTTTCTACCTGAAGTAATTAAATGCTAAAGTATTTTAATGCCTCTTGTAATATTTGGCATCTCAAATCAGTAAGTACACAAAACACTTAAGAGTCCATCCTTTAAAGCTGTTTAAAATATAGTTTGTGCCAGAGTTAGATTTGCTTCATCTCATATTCTATAAATGATAATATATTCACTTTAAAAAGAAGGCAAAGCTTAATGTGGTAGCTTCATTGCACTAAAAGACATCTATAAATTAGCTCAAGAAGGAGTTCCAATGATAATGTGCACTTCTCTGTCCAGAGAGAAATAAATTCCAAAGACAGTTAGTGGCCATTGGAATGATCCATCTATTCCTGCATTTCTGTCTTGTCCTGAGTAGTATGGCCTCACATACTAAAATTTTGAACAACAGAATCATGAAAGTTGTTTAAGCTCTTAGTAGAAGGGAGGTATTTTTATCTAGTTTGTTTTATTGTCTAATATCTGTACAGAGATTTGTATTTAAATAAAATGAAAATCATACAAATACTTATAATGTATAATTCATTGAAAGACAGCAATGTGGTGCTCCCCTAGTATCTGGCAGACTATAAATGTTTGTTGAATGAATAAATAAATGAATGAAAAACAAATATTCAGGTGAACACCAAATCACATTTTGAATGATTACCATAGAATGGTACTATAAAATATGAATGAACATTTAAACCCAAACCCACTGCCATTATATTGATAATATATTTGCTTTTTAAGATGCTATAGTTTAGGCACTAATCAAATGATCATCCAGTGTTAATTTTCATTAGAAACTAAGTGCAAAAATAATATATGAAAGTACAAACAAAAAAATCTATAGTGTAAACTCAACTTTAGAGACTTGCATGCTGAGATTTATATTAGACAGTTTAAATTGATGTTGCTTGGAAGATATTTAAATAAAGGACAATCTTGTTCTGTTCATAAACAATAGAGTTTTATATTTTTTAAAATGTGGCATTTTTAAGCTTTCCTGTAGGAGATATGCTATTTTCAAAGAAATTGCAGAAATACTTGAGTTGCAATTCTACTATTCCATTTAGAAATTTTTTAGGTAAAGTATCTTTGAACATCAGTTAATTCTCAATTAATCTGAATTAAAGGAGCACAGCAAAAGCATGAATAATCTAAAGCAGCACTTGACCAAAAATTAGATTATATGTCTTTATAATGTACATTTAAAGTGTTCATTTAGGAGGCTCTAAGAATTCACTTTAAAAAAAAATACAATGAAACCTCATGTTAAGATGATGGTTGAAGATTCTGGGAAACTACCTCATTTTCCCCATCCTTTCTCTCTTCTATCTATTCCATGTTGGGGATATACATGCCAGAGTGACCAACTGGGAAAAAAATGAAGAATTCAATAAACTATTATGTTTGGTTTTATAATGCTAAGTATCTGGGCTTTATGGATAATGCTAATACCATTGACTATTGTTTGATTGAAATCACTAGTCAATTCAATTAAAATAAATTCATTTGTTCTGCTTTATAGGTACATGAAAAGAAGAATGTTTTCTCTTATATCTTTCTTAGTAGCCCAGCGTGGTGGTGTGTGCCTGTAGCTCCAGCTACCCTGAAGGCTGAGGTGGGAGGATCACTTGAGCCCAGAATTTCAAGACTAGGGATTAAACCCAGGGCCTCACTCATACTAGGGAAGCATTCTACCACTGAGATACATATCCAGCCCTCACAACATTTTTCTTGGAGTAAATAAACATAGTGTTACAGGATGTAAAAGTTAGAAACTAAAGAAAGTATGTATGAATATCAATATACTAAAAAACAAACAAATTTCTGATAATAAAATTTTGGATAACAGCCCGGGCACATGCCTGAAATTCCAGTGACTCAGGAGGCTGAGGCAGAAGGATTAAAAGTTCAAAGCCAACCTCAACAATTTAGTGAGACCCTACGCAACCTAAGGAGATCCTGTCTCAAAAAAAAAAAAATAAATAATCTAGGAATTTAGCTCAGTGATAAAGTGCCCCTGGGTTCAATCCCCAGTACAAAAAAATAAATAAATAAATAAAAATGGATAATAGCATGGATGTTAAAGGATGCTTGGATATTTAGGAAAAGTGATAAAACACACTTATTTTCTAACTTCTATCTTAATTAAGTTTTCTTAAGAGATAGTACCTCTCTGTACTTACCACTTATTATTAAAGTACAGTATGCACAATATTTATCATTTGTGTATATCATTTATATGATTTAGTATATAAGTACAGCATACAAATGACCTAGTGCAGTCCAGACTCTATGTGGAAAAGTACCTCTGTGTGAGACTTTCATTTAGTGGGTTCTGATATCTATCTGAAATGACAGCATAGCCAGAACAGCTGCCTAAAGATTGATGGAGACAGTGAGAACTGCTAGGGAAACGGAAATTAACTCCATGGTGGGTAGATATGTGTGTGCATTTAACAAGTGTGCAGCTATTATAGAAGACTGACTGTTCACTTAACCAACTTTTCTTGCAAGGTTGTGTGGAAGAGTAAACATATGTATAAAATACAATACTCCTTTGAAGTGAATGTTAAGAATGGTGAAAGTAATTTTTACAACATGAGACTTTTTGGTGAGAAATACTTTTTTGAAATGATGTAAATAATGAGAAAATATTTGGTGTATACTCTTTTGTGGATTATTTTGGGTTAAATGCATCTATTATAGCAATCAAGATTAAGCTATGTATGTACATCAGATTGTTTAGGAGAGATCTACTTTTTATCTTCTTAAATCCTTAAGTTCAACAAAGGAGAATTATAGGTACTGATAATGGAAGAATGAGAATGCACTAGTAACTGCCTGCTCCTTAGACTCTGTTTGAAATGTTTATGAGTTACAGAGAAAGGACTACTGCAGACAACCAATGTGTGCTTACTATTTTATACATCCAGATGAAAAGTGAATAAAACTGACATATTTAGATATTTTATCTAACACATACCAGGTTCCATCAATTGCCTTTTTAAAGAGTTAGTTTTGAGACAGTACTGATTTATCCATTCTTTTTTAAAAAAATTGTTTTGTAGTTGTAGATGGACAGAATGCCTTTATTTTATTCATTTTTTGGGGGGTGTGCATAATTATTATTTTTTTATTGTTGGTCATTCAAAACATTACATAGTTCTTAATATATCATATTTCACAGTTTGATTCAAGTAGGTTATGAACTCCCAATTTTACCCCATATACAGATTACTGTATCACATCAGTTACACTTCCATTGATTTACATATTGACATTCTAGTGTCTGATGTATTCTGCTGTCTATCCTATTCTCTACTA